AACAAATAAATTAATAAATAAATAAATAAATAAATAATGAAACTAATTATTATACTAAAACTTACTGATCATATGCTTAGTGACCCAAGTAAAAAGTGATATCTCTGTAAAATTTTTAAAATAAGGGCCGTATTCTCCAGGTAGTGGCTGAAAATCAATTCAATTATCAACTATAATTTGTTCGGATTCTTCAATTTCTTCTGCAATCGTCAACTGGTCACTACAACTGGACGTATCTGAAGCCATAGAAAAACCGCATTCGAGGTCATCATTGACATGCTGACTTCTATTAAAAAAATCTTCTTGTAAACTTTCGATGTCAAAAAAATCCTCTTGGAAACTTTCGATGTCAGAAAAGTTTTCTTGTAAGCTTTCACTATCCTCTCCATCGTTTATTGAAACTGGTGAAGCTTGGCTAATGGTATTTTGTGAACATTCTTCTCTTTGTACATTTTCAGAAATCTTATACGTAACGCGTTTTCATAATGCAATCCTTTGGGTTGCTTTTTTAGTTCGAACTCTTTTCATTTTAACAAATCGACTGCAATTATTAGGTTTTAATAATAAGAATATTAAAATAATTAGCATTTTTTTTTAAAAAGAACATAGTTTCTAGATAGCTTTAAGGAAGTAAAATGCACAACTTGTAATCTTCGAACGATAGTGTTTATAACAAAAGTTGAAAAAAAGAACGTGGTGAAATTTGTGAAAATCAGCTTTATATTGATAATCTTAAAATAATGGTATGCAGTGCAAAAAGCGAAAAAAAGAATATGAAATATTTAATGAGTTGGTCTTTATATTTATTTGTTAAAGCAGGGTTTTGATTATACTCAGAACCTAATCTTATTCATAATCACAATTCATAATACTTAGTTATACGTGATCATGATCCTTCATTTAAAATTAAACAAGTTAAACTTATATATATATATATATGAATACGAAGAGACAAGATTTTTAATTTTATTAAATATTTCTCTCTAACTAATAGATAATAATATAAGGAATTCAATTCTCGAGCATAAATATACATGCACTGCTGCAAGTTATTTTTCCGGTTCGATCATCCTGCATGATGCAAATAAGAAAAAGGTGGTGATTGTTTAATTAAAATAGTAATAGTTAAAATGATCTACTAATACTAATTGCACAATAACGAACTTATTAAGAGATAATTTATATTTTAAAGCTAACAATTAATTTGATGCATTTTGTGTTTTCTCAATGGCATGAAATATGAGCACTAACTAATTAATACAACATCACAATAATAACATAGTGAGCTAGTCTAACTTAAGTAATGATCTAATATCTAAGTGTGGTAAAGCATCTTTTCTATCGGCAGTGAATATCTCCATATCAACCGTCATATAATTTAAATTTTTGACAGCATCGATCACATCCTTGTCCGAAAGACTTTCTTGGATGAAGAAGTTAAATGCCGATCGTATAAAATCAGTAAAAATGTCAACATTATTGGGCTGATCATTGAACGTTTTTTGAACGTCTGTCACATCCATATGACGTTTCAAAAACGTTGTCCAGTTGCTGTCAGTAATGTATACAGCAATTTGCTGTATCATTGGCTGTTTTGCCTTCGTCAATCTAAATATTTTTAGATTTTTTTTTTTATTTATATTTATTTA